AAATGGATGCCAAACGGTGTTACATTTTAACATAACTTGGAAACAGTACAGCCGCAGCAGCAGCGCTCCTTAGAGGCAAGGCTTTGTCTTATCTACTTTGGACATGTGGTCAGGAGAGACCAGTCCCTGGACAAGGACCTAGAGGGGCAGCGAAGGAGAAGGTCCTCAAAGAGACAAATTGACCCCGTGGCTGCAGCAATGGGCGTAGGCATAGGAATTACTGGAGGATGGTGAAGGACGGGGCAGATTCATAGCATAAGGTTGCTTTGGGTCAGAACTGACTGGGTGGCATCTGGCAGCAACGTCCTGTGCCGTAGTCATCTTTACAATGACCTCCAGCTGTCTAGGCGATTCACATCCCCGGACACATCAGAGGGGCTTCGGTGGAGACTTAATCCATCTGGGGGTTCTGCATAGGGATTTTGGGCTTCCACTCCAATCCGTTGCCTTCTGCAAAGCAGGTTTTTAGAATGTGAGCTCTGATACCATTCCCTCCTTCAGATTTGGATTTCCTTATTTACAATCCTGGGATCACACAGGCTGGTGTGCTGCTTCCGTGTGGACTTAGTTGACGCCTCACTTAGGTGGCTGCTGGTTTTATGACAAGCTTTCAGGACCCAGAGGCTATTATTTCTGATAGCCAGGCTCCGTCTGGCTTCTTCACTACACTTTGCTACAGCACCATCTTTTCAGTGATCCTTTCTTGAGGGTGAGCATGGAGTAGGTTGGCTGCACTTTTAATAGGTTGACTTTCCTGGGCCAGTTTCCTCATCTGTATTTTAGCAGGATCTTGTCCACCTCCTGGCTTACTGGGAGGGTCAGTGAATACCTAAAATGTTTCTGGGACATGCCCAACATTCTCATTTTAATTTTCAAACTCTGGCACTAGTGACCTTGTTTATGGGGAGGGTCAAGTTTTCTTTTTTTTTTTTTTATGAGCTTGGTCCTTGGCATTAATGTGTTAGTGGGAGGAATTCCTAGGAGATAAGAGAGATCTTCTGTATGATAGTTTGAAGACCAAACAAGAGATCAGGATTTTCTTGTCAGGTGAGTTCTGACGGTTGTCAGCTCCCATGTGAACACCACCCCAACCAAGATGTGGGGCACATTCCCTCCCCCCAACTAAGTTCCCTGGTGCCTCTTTCCTGTCACCCCGAGCCTCAGTGGCAACTGTTCCTCTGACTTCTCTTACCCAGGTGCTAGATGTGCATCAGTTCTGCAAGTCGGCTTTTGACGTGTTACAGATAGTGGCCCTGGAGATGGCCGGTGATGTGGATGGAACATTGCTCAGTCTTGCGCTATCTCCCTGGTTGTCGGTCCCTTGTCAATTGTTGTGCAGTGCTAGAAGATGCGCTACAGTGTCTTCAAGCATGGAGGCAGATACCATTCTGTTAAGATCCGTAGGATCTTCACTGGCTAATTTCTAGAAGGTAATCGCCAGGCCTTTCTTCCTAGCCTGTCTTAGTTTGGAAGCTGTGTGGAACCCTATTCACCATGGGGTTGACCTGCTGGTATGTGAAACATCAGGGGCATAGCTTCCAGCATCCCAGTAACACAGGAGCCACACCCCAGAACTACACCCTGACTGATAGATGGTGGACGTTTGAAGGACAACTTTTAAAAATACTTAATTAACACCTTCAGAAACGCTTGTGTGTTCCCGGCCACCTAGGATTTCTTTCCCAGCTCAGCCAAGGTGACCAGTCCTTGAAGCTTCTTTCTGAGTATCTGGATATTAGGAATCGCCTGCATTGGAAGTCCCTGTTTCCTTCTGCTGTGCACAGGCTCCCTGCATGTCAGAACCGACCTGACCACACCTAGCAGCACATTGGAAGGTTGGAATTTATTTATTTATGGGCTGCGTTTGCACCTCTTTGTAAACCTTCCCGCCTCAGGCTTGGAGGGCCCCCAGGCTTGCTGGGAGAGGCCAGGCCATAACTCACAGAGACTGGAGGCAGGGTTCAGTACAGCACAGGGCTTCCAGGGCCTGTCTTGGTGTGAGCACCCGCTTTTTATGAACGCCCATGGGATTTAGCCGGGTCTAAGTAGAGAGAAAGAAAAGACAGTATTTGCAAAAACAAGCCAAACTCCTGACAGAAGGACAAGCATCAGCTTTGGGGGGGTCCCCTTCCGGAAGGACGCTCCCTCTGCCTTCCTCTGAGCTCTGGCTTTGTCTTCAAGGCCCGTTTTCCTTTGGCTGAGGTCTTAGTGACCGCTGTGGGGGACTTGAACGAGCGGAATCTGTCCCCTCACAGGTCAGGAGGCTCCAAGTTCTAATTCAGGGAAGCCTTTCTCTCGGTGGGCTCCAGAGGAAGGCTCTTGTCTCTTCTGAGCTCTGTCCCTGGTCTGTGGTCCCGCGGCACAGTATCTCTCTTCCCTGCCCCCCCTCCCCCTCCCATCCCCCTTGCTTGTTTAATGTCTTCTATTATTTCCAAAGACACGGACTCAAGCGACTCCCTACCTGCACATATTTTGGGGACCCCTCCAGCCTAGGTGTCGTGGTGGTAGAGGTCATGCATGGTTCTGCTAATTGAAAGGTCAGCAGTTCAAACCACCGGCTGCTTCCCAGGAGAAAGATAAAGCTATTACAGTCTCGGGAACCCACCAGGGAGGGCAGTTCTACCCTGTCCTGTAGGGTCGCTATGAGTCGAAGTCAACTGGATGGCAGCGAGTTTGGTTTTTCAGGTTTGTCCAGACGAGGTATGTCCTTTACTTGTGGTTGGTTGGAAGCAGGATGGCCCTTTGAGTGGCAAGCTGTACGGGCCTTGGGTGATGTAGTGGTTCCGGGTTGGGCAGCTAACTGGGAGGTCAGCAGTTCGAAACTACCAGCTGTTCCAAGGGAGAAAGATGAGGCTGTCTGCTACATCGTTACAGTCTCTGAAACCCACAGGGCCATTATGAGTCGGAGTCCCCTCGATGGCAGTGAGTTTAAGAGTGAGTGAGTGTACCCGGTGGAGTTGTCGGCTAAGCGTTGACTGCTAACGTCAGGGCCAAGGTCCAAACCCACCATCTGTTCCCATAAAGGTTTACGCAGCCTCAGAAACTTGATCCAGGGTCTCTGGGAGTCAGATTCAATGCGATGGCAGTAGGTGTGCGTGCCCTGGGCACAAGGTCACTGGTGGCTCACTGGTAGAATTCTTAGCTTCAGTGTGGGAGCCCCCGGCTTGGTTCCAACCAGCACCCCTCCTGCTGGGCCATGTGGTCAGTCAGCGGAGGCCTGCAGATTCTTGTACATGGCTGTGATGCAGACATGGTTTCAGGCTCTTCCAGACTATAAGGTGCACTAGGAAGGCCTGGTGATCGATCGACTTCTGAAAACCAGCCAACAAAACCCCGTGGATCCCACTGGATTTGAGACACAGTGGTTGGGATGGCTCAGGACTGGGCAGTATGTGGGTTGCCGTGAGTCCGAGGCTGGCAGACACAGCTAAGGTTGTGTTCTAGACGCATAGTCAATTAAAGGCTACCCAGCAGTTTGCAGGGCTCCTAGTCCGCGCTTATAGAAGCGGTGTTGTTACATTGTATCTTCCAACAGGCAGACTCTCTGTCTCCCTGTCTGTGAGCTGTCTTTGATGGCCCCCTCCGTGTTCCCCCTAGACTCGGAGTGATGTGGCAGGTAGGAGCAAGGGCCCCAGAGCTGGATTTCCTGGTTTTAAGTTCCTGCTGGTCACTCACTAGCTTATGCTCTTGGGCAAGATGACCTCCCCGCTCTGTGACTCAGTTTCCTCCTCTCTAACACAGGGGCCCCAGGGACAGCAGTATCTCTCACAGGGCGGTCTGAGGTCACGGTAAATGGGGTGCAAAGCCGACAGCCTGGAGCTGGACATTCCTGACCTCCTCTGGCTTCCCTATTGCCATGTGGCTGGATACTCTGATACCCTCTGTGGCTCCCACACCTCTCTACATCAGTGCTCGGCTCCTTAATCGGTTGTAACAGGCACACCGGACTCGCAGCCAACATCGGAATTAAGGAAGTTCCTGAGTGCGCACTAAGTCAGGATCAGTAAACACTAAGGAGACAGTGCTTGGTCTGCTCAGCCAGAAGCCAAGTCTCCCTCTCTCTGGTTCTTAGCTTCTTAGCCACGTGGTAGCCAAGTCTCTCACCGATTCTCAGCCTCTCAGCCACATGATCTCTTGACCTTTGCCTCTGTTGGCCTGGAAGCCAGCCCGCCTGTCCCTCTGTTCCACCCCACCGTCGTCTCTCGGGCCAGAGGGGGAGAAATTCCCAATAGTCTCTGTGCCGCAGTCTCTGGCACATCTGGTTTTGGCGGCCTCCACCGCTGCAGACCGAGATCTTGGATTTGTTCTTCTGAGGTCCTGGGGGTAGGGGGGTGGGGGTGGGGGGTTCCCTCTCTGTTGCTGCTTCAAAGAGGGGTGTGGTAATGAAAATGGACCAATCCTCTCTATTAGCCTTACACGCGCCCTATTTGCATAGTCCTACACAGTAGCAGTAATTTCATTGGAGCTACAGAGACTTGAATAGAAGAGCCATTATGAAATTTCTCCACTCCAAGGTGCATATGGCCTTGGACCCATCAGCGTCAGCTAGCTTTCCCCCCACCCCCACCCCTTTCTGGGGAGAGGGTGTGTGGGTGGCTGGTCTCTGTATTCTACAGTTTTAGTACTTACAGATCCTGTGGTGGTTCTTATAGTCGGTGGTTTTACTCTGTGTGTGTGTGTGTGTGTGTGTGTGAGAACACCAGTCGTTTCGGGTTCAGGTCCCCACGTGCATGAGAGTGGAACCCTATTCCATGGGGTTGTCCCCACAGATTCTTCTGAACAAGACAGCCCGGCCTTTCTTCTGTGGTTCTTCTGGGTGGACTTGAACCTCCGACCTTTTGGTTAGTGGCAGAGAGCATAACTGTTTGTCCTGCACAGAGACGCCATGTTATTATTGTTAGTAGGAATGTCCTAATTAGCAGTGATGTTATATTATTGTAGGGTGTCTCCCCCCGACTGACTGGCTCTGAAGGGCTAAGCCCTCTCGCCTCTCTCTGCAGGGCTTCGTGCTGGCTGTCACCATCATCCGAGAGGCGGTGGAGGAGATCCGATGCTACCTCAGGGACAAGGAAGTCAACTCCCAGGTCTACAGCCGGCTCACAGCCAGAGGTCAGCCACCCAGGGCCGGGTAACTCCATCATGGGTGGCACTGAGGGTCAAGGGAGCTGAGTGCAAAGCTCAGGTCTGTGGGTGGGTGGGTGGGGGTGTGGTTGCCTTGTGCCCCAGCCGGGTGGACTCAGGCTGGGCCATCCTCTCTGAGTGGTCCTGTCAGCCAGTCCCACATCATGGGCCTGAGTGAAAGGCGGGCATTTGGCCTGGGCTGTCCCTGGTGGGTGTTCTGAGTTGCAGCTGGGGCTACTCCCATTCCTGGGCTGAGCTGCGGGAGGCAGGTGGGTGCCCCTCCATCTGTGAAAGGGTCCCTCCAATGGTGGGTGTTTCTGGGCATCGGAGCGCGGATATTCTCAGCTTTGATCATGCGGGGGTGAAGCGTGTAAAGCCAGGCTCTACATGAGAGTTGGAAATGGCAGCGGATCTGAGTAAAGAGAGCCTCACTTTAAAGGGGCCTCATAAGTCTTAGAAGTGGAATGGTGGTGTGGGCGGGGTCGGATCTGTTAGGTAGCCGAATAGAGGGGGTTGTCCCTCCATATGCCTGAAGACCCCTTAGAGGAGGGTGGAAGGAAATCAAGCGAGCCTTAGCAGCCGTAAAGACTAACAGGGCATGCTCCAATTCAGGTGGGCCGCATTCCTGGGCGGCCCAAACTAGGCCCAGGTGGGCTTATTTCAGCCAATGGGGTCAACCTTCTACCTCACCTCCCCAGGTTTAACTACCTTAGTGGCAGGACCACTGCCCCCTTTTTTATTTCCGCCTTTTGCCCTCTCCTCTTGACCTTGCTCCTGAGCCTGCTCCTCTGTGCCGTGGGCTCTCTGGCCTCAGGCCGCCATGCTGGGTGAGCAGTCCCACAAGGTTGCCTGTGTTCATGGTGAGCCCCAGCGCGGCGTACTCGCATTTTGGCACGTTTCCCGGCAATAGCGTGTACTCTTCTGAGACTGTAAAACCTGAAATTTTCTTTTTTTTTTTTTGAACCTGAGATTTTTCTATCCTTTATAAAAACCCACCCACATGGATCACAAACCAGCCTTCGGTGTGAATTCTTTATCGTGGGAAGCCAAGAACGGAGTATTAAGCTCCCCCCCACCCCCCCCCAAGAACTCTAACAGATCCACAGCACTGAGAAATAACCAGGGCACAAAAAGAACCCTAGGGCCCCTGGCAGGTGCCCGCTGACCATGGTGGTACCGACAGCCCACCCGAACACATCCTCCGAGGGGCAGCCAGTGCTGGTTCCGACCGGCTGCACCGTCCTCACGAAGGGTAGGCCGAGGGACCAGAAAACCACTGCCTCAAGCTGGCTCAGCTGACCAGGAAGGGAGGTCAATAGAAAAAGCCCCTAAAAGGACAATTCCCCCTGAGGCTCCATCTCTGTTCGGGAGAGGCCCAAGGGCAGTCAAAGCCGTGCCTTGCCTTCAGGGAGTCGGCAGTGTTGAGATGGGACAGTCCATGCCCTGGCTGACGCGAGACCTGGGCAGGTGGGAAACCCCCTCCCCTCGGAGGGGTAGGGCTTCAGCCTCCGGGGTCAGCACCCCTCACCTCCCTGAGGAGGTCTTTTCTTCCAGGGTGCACCTGTGCTCAGGAAAGATGCTATCTGTCACCTCCCCACCCCCCGAAAACCTTGACAGTGTCATAGAATCCTCCCCAGGGAGAATGGAGACGACTCTGTTCTGTTGTCTTGCCTTTGAGTTGATATTTGTAGCTTGTGCTCTAGAGAACCTGCAAGCCAGTGGGTCTGCTCTGTGAAGGTTCAGCTACAGTTGCTGGACACCCTGCTCCCCGAGGGGAAGAGAAAGCGTGTCGCAGCCAAGGCAGATGGGGGGGTCATCAGAAGACCCCTCTGGAGGGTGGTGTGTGCATATTTCACCCTCCCCTTAATCAGTGTTCTTACAATGGCTTGGAGAATGCTCGGCAGCTGACAAAGGCCGCATCCGTCCAAGGGAGGGGTGGGCGAGCTCCTCGGAGCTGAAGAGGCGCTGCTTTGCGTTTGGATTCCATTCATTCGCCGCCGACCCTGGGCCCCTTTCATGTGGCGATTACTTTCCCCCTGAAAGGCGTTTCTGCCCTCCCCCGCCGCCCCTCCCTGGCTCTGCTCTGACTTCACTCAGCCCCTGAAAAGATCCTAGGGAGAACTGGCAGATGGCGCGGGCATTAAGAACATGTCTCCCTTTGTGAGCCCTCTTTTGTGGCCTGTGCTCCCCATTGCCGGGACAATGGGCCGGGCCAGGGGAGCGGAGGGGGTGCTGAATATTAACCCGGGCGCTGGCCCGGCAATTTGTCAGCAGCGTCCCACAAAGCAGGGCGGGGCACTCTGCTCTGGAAGGCTCTGGTCAGAGATAGGCTCTGCAGGACAGCCGGGCGCCCAGGCTGACTTCAGAGGGAGGAAGAGAAACACCTAGAGTTTGATTGCCGGGAGCTTTTCTCCAGCCTCTGCGTGTACTCAGCTCAAGAGCAAAATGAAACATCCGTGTGTGTGTGTGTGTGTGTGCGTGTGTGTGCACATAGTCAGGCATAACTGTTCCTTTCTATCAGGTGGATCCCTTAAAATACGTTTTCACCCTTAGGTTTGCCATTCAAAGCAGGACTATCCAGTCCTACTCCACCACCACATCCGGGGGCTATGGTAGTTGCTTGCATTCGGTGGCATTTCCTGATGAAGAACAGCAGTGCTTGCACGGGTAGAATAAAATATATATAGAGAGATTTGTCTGCGATAATCTCACTAGCGAAAACATAGCATAGGTTACGTGTGGGGCTGCTAATCAGAAAGCCAGCAGTTTGAAGCCACCAAGCTCCTCCAGACGGGGCTTTCTGCTCCCATGAACACTTACCGCCTCGGACGCCCACAGGGGCATTTCTGGCCTGTCCTATAGGCTCCCTGTGAGTTGGTGTCCACTTGATGGTGGCAATTTGTTTTGCGTTTGATTGCAGTCCCCCTGGTGCCCCATCATGGATCCCAGTCCCTCCCTGTGCTGTCTCCTGTTACCATGTTCCCAACGCCCTGAACTTTGTCCTGGCCTGTGCTGCCCTGTTGATCGGAGTTGTTCTGATTCCGGGCCACTTCACTTGAGGGAACCCTGGATTGATTTGCGTGTGCCTGGTGTGTCCCCGGGAGGTGGTTTTCAGATTGTCCGTCCGTGCCCTGGGTTCTTGTGAGGGCACTGCCAGCACCTTGGGGGTTTTCACACCAACCAGGTTCTTAAAACTTCCGACTGATTTTGAGGAAAGAAAGTAGTTTGGTTTTGAACAGCTGACCTGGGAGGTCTGGTCATTAGGAACTCACAGTTGGAAGGGAAATGAGTGACCGCTTTTATTTGTTTTAAATAGCTGCTTCTCATAACCTAATTTGCCTTATTCTGTTTGAGATGCATCTACGACAACCGACTGTTGGATTAAACGTGAAAGCAACTGTTATGTCTTCCTAGGAAGCATTTGTTTTAATCGTTTTATTAGGGGCTCATA